GCCTATATAATCAATTACGTCATTAAGTTCATATAGGCGTGGCCAACATAATAGGCCTAATTTGTGTTTATTTGGTCTAATCCGTCTACCTCACAATAGTATTGTTTATATTGTACAGTATACAACTTGAAACTTGAGAAAATAAAAACACAAAAAAGAAATAACATTCTTCGGAGGTGAATTTATTTAAAAAAAAATTGAAGTGACTAAAAAAACAACACTTATAGTCCAATTAACACACCATAGGCATAGGTGTATGGTGGGAAACTAAGGACAAGTAAATTCAGTTCACGTGTGATTTTATATATATATATATATATATATATATATATATATATATATATATATACACTTTGTATATATATATATATATATATATATATATATATATATGTATATGTATGTATGCATGTATGTATATATATTATATATATATATATGTCTAGCCAGGAAATAATCATTGCTACATTCTACTCCGGTTATTATCTGGCCATCACATAAGAACAAACTAGAAACACTCTCCTACGCTAAAAAAAAAATCGTTAAATTATTTTTTGTACAGATTTACGAAAGATATGCTATCCACCCACAATAAATGAAACTGTCGTATAGTTTGTGTATTACATAGTGAGTTACCGATCTGTCTGTGCCTGGGACAGGCATACCATTGACGTGGTTCATAATAGCAGTTGTCATGTGATGGGAAAACATCCTTTCTGCAAAACGATCCCGTTTCTTTAATTTCAGTTCGTAAAGAAAGCGAATGAATCACCTATTGTCGTTGCTCAACCATTCAACCATCACAACAAACAAGGCGGAGCTTTTTTAGAATAGATTGCATCTGCACGCATGCGTATTATTGAAAACGGACGTACTGACTGTGAGAATACTTAAATTTTTCATGTACGTTTGTACAGACGACAGTTTTCGTGCTTGGCACGACAATTTCTTGCTGCCATAACGTATATACCAAAAAACACTCGACCAGTAATTTCTCAAGAACTGTACAATTTGGCAATAAACAGCATGAGGAGTTGGCAGTTTTTGATATTGGCATCGAATTTGGTGCTGGTTTTGCGTGATATTACCGTAGCTACACAGACAATAATTGCTGGGCCTCGCGATATAGCAGGTGTGTTGGGTAGCTCGAAGAGGTTAGAATGCACAGTAACCGATGTATCTTACTCTACAGATGTAGTTTGGAAAGTACCAAGTAGCTCAATCCTCATAAACCAACAAGCGTCCATTCCATTAAGTTATGTGGAAAAATTTTCAACAGAAACGGAGACCGTCGATGTTACAAAAAACGAGTACAAATATTCATTGGTGATAAATAATATTCAACCTACCGACAATGGAGATTACCAATGTAAGGTTGTTCATAGACCTAATTCAAACATAGTGGATTCAGACACTGCCAATTTACAAGTAGTAAGTGCAAACAGTAACGGAAGGCCAACTTGTTTTGCCAATCCAAGTGGAGAACTTATCACTGGTGAAACTGTGACTCTGACATGTATTTCCGGCAGTTCGACTGCTGATCTGGTGTGGAGGGCCAATGGACAACTCTTGCCAGCAACTTCTTCAACGAAATATGCAAACTCCACAAGTGAACTTAGTTTTACGGTAAGCCAAGGAGGTCAGAAATACACATGTGTTTCGATTTCACAAACATCAGAATGTAGCCTAATTTTAACTGTTCAATACGCCCCAACTGTGCAAATCACGCTCACCGCCGATAAAGTCGAAATTGGCAAGTCGGTAAGCTTTACATGCAACGCCGTGGGAAATCCAAATTCTTTTACATACATTTGGTACTATGACGGAAATCTAGTCTCGCAATATAACCGAATAAGTGGTTTTCAGCTTAATGATAATGGAAAAATGTTAACCCTCCCTGATGTTACTAGCGTTGATGACGGTGTGACCTTAACCTGTGTAGTGTTCAACACGATTGGGGAGGGGGCTGCCGAGTACTCCATAACGACAGTAGAAGGTAGAACAACTGCGGAAATCGTAGGGGCAGTCTTGGTTTGTGTAGTTGCATATATTATTTTAATGATTCTAATTGCATTCACGATCTGGTACTGTCGTCAGAAGAAAACAATTAAGGAAATTAAAAATAAAGAGATGGTTCGGCGCGCCGAATCTGCCAGAAGAAAGAGGCAAAACAATGCAGTTATTCCAGTACAGCCCATGAGAATGAGAGGCAGTACGAACGCTGGCTACTTATCCGAAGTTGTATCCAAAGATGATGATGACGAAGATCGACTACGGCCTATTCCCCGACGAAAAAGCGAAACATCGAGTATAGGTAAAAAAGGTAGTAATGAAAGTAGTATGTCTGATTATATTGTGCACGATATGTCGACGGAGGATGAGGATCATGAGGACACTTCGTACGTTTATCAAGTTAATCCACATTTCGGAGAGAATAGAAAGAAAGGTTCGTACACTGTGAATAGAGACGAATTTGAGATACCATCACTTCCGTCTGAGCCGGACTCAGAGGATATGAGTTCCATAATCCCGTCCACTGATTTATAGCCTTCACAATCAAATAGATTTCTAAAGCTAAGTCCAGATTATTAAATTTCTTTGACAAAAACCTGTTGTATGCCCATATATAGTCATGATGTGCCTATATATGGTCATGATGTGATGTCATCATGACCATAATTAGGCATTTCGCATGTTTTTGTAAAATAAAATTTGATAGTCTGGACAGGGCTTTAGGATCTAGCCTGCCTTTGTACTTTGATGACTCAATCAAAGAATCCACCCATATACGCGATTGGCTGTTCAAATAGCGCGTACAAAACTAATTTCTATGACGCGTTTGTTGACAGACAGCACTTTTCGTGCAACGTCGCAAAAATAAAAACCTTATGTTTATAGTTTTGTCAATATTTCATACCATGAGAGATACGTGGAAGGTGTGGACATAATGCTGTAAAAAAAAAAAAAAAATAACTTGCAATAGTAGCCTAACCTAAAAGGATGTAAAGCATACGGTATTACACACAGAATAAAGTGATGGCAATATCAACTAGGCCTATGGATATTTTTGGACACAATGTGTAACAGGTGACGTTGATGAATGAACTGTCAAGATATATAGTATTTATATGTATTGTTAAATAGAATTTTGGTAACTAATTATATTTTATATACATCTTTATATTCATTATTAGCCTAGGCCTATTAATTTTATTATTGTTATATTATCATCATCAATATTATCATTATTTCTACTACTACTACTACTACTACTACTACTACTAATAATAATAATAATAATAATAATAATAATAATAATAATAATAATAATACTACTGTTATTATCATCATCAATATTATCATTATTTCTACAACTACTACTAATACTACTACTACTACCACTACTACTACTACTACTGCTACTACTACTGCTACTGTTATTATTATTGTTATTGTTATATTATTGTCTTATTATTATTATTATTATTGTATTTTCGAAACAACTATTATTATTGTCATATTATTGTCCTATTATTATTATTATTATTACTATTATTATTGTAATTTCGAAACAACTACTACATGATTAATTTTGATAAATTTAATGCGATTGATAATAAAACTACAATAACTCGGGGTAAATACCACACTTCAATGTACTATATTGAATTGATGTGTGTACGGTGTAATACAGTACTTAAGTAAACCTATGACGTATTTCTCTTCTGTGTACACGTACATACAACCAGCATTATGTTCCTCAAGTGTTCGTGTTCTTTTGTGTAAGAATGCTTAAGTAATTATTTGTTTTACAGTAATATATTTACATTATTTTTATACTGTTTTGTCGCAATAATAATTTTGTTTGGTAGGCCCTATTTGAATGTTTATATACTTACACGTGTTTGAATAGTTGTGTTAACATAGAAAGGATTTTGTAGTTTTCGTTTACGGTTTCATAAGCCTACTGACTGAGCAGCGCGTAACTGGAACCCGAGCCCCCACGATGAATTAAGTGACTGTTCGCTTACTATCAGTAGGGGTAATCACAAGCTACATACATATACATACATATACATCTGTCTCTTATACACATCTAGATGTGTATAAGAGACAGGGCCTATACACACACTAATATGTAGGCCTATACATTATTGTTATTTTCGTTATGAGTTATAATATTATAATAATGCAATAATAATGCATAATTTATTTTAGTTCTTTCATTCATATTGTGTTCGTATTCGATCACAGATGTTCACGTTGCAAATAATAATTGTATTTCGTTATGTTTTATTAACCTCCATAATGCTTACATTCATATTATATGTGCTTGCTTTGTATACTATTATATTTATTAGATCATTTGCATAAATGCAATATAATAATGATAAAGTTACAAGAGTTTAATGTTAACACAGCCTCATATGAAAATGTGTATACAGTAACAGAACATGATACGTTGCGATAAAGCTAATTTTCTGAGATTCGGATTTATCGCGAAGACGGAGCTTTAACATACTGTAGACCAGGGGTGCTGTAGGCCTACAGCAGGACACCTAAGGTCGAATCCGACTAGAATGATTTAACATAATACATAAGCTTAAACGAAGAAAGAAAACTAATGTTAATTTGTCTTGGCTTGCCATTGACCTGAATTGTATATATTACTATAGAACTCTTTTGCCTCGAAGAAATACCGCTATTAATATAATGTGGGTAATGTTAATGTACAAATATTCATAGGCATATGACAGACCGATACATGCACAAAAGAAATGAAAAAAAAACAAACAAAAAAAACAAATATGCGGAAACTGAAAATCAATTAGCCCAGTAAATAAATCAGGTATATAGGCCTACTGTAGATTTAAACCACAGATATAATTATATTATGTTGGTACGTGTGAGAAGTATCTTTGTTAAAACAAATCAAATATTGCTAGAATTGCTTGCGAAAGCTTATAACTTACGGTACTTATATACGCAAAATTTTCCACAAAGTCATTCTAAACTAATAAAATTATAAAAAAGGATAAAAGAAATGCAATAGAATTCAGCGACTTTTATGTAGATAAAATACATAGGCATTAGTGTGAAAGAACGATACCGGTATACCCTAAACCCACTCTCCACGTCAACGCAGGCTAAATCATATATTTTTTTCTTTTGTAATGTTTGTATTTTTTACCAGTTCATCGTCCAAATAATTTTTAATTACGTATATTTTAAAATATATTGTAAAACATATTTTTTCCTAGACAATAAAAAACAATTCATTGTCTTTAAGCAATGGCATTATGTAATTTGTATTTCTTCTAACAACAAAGCATTAACCTGAACTGGTTCTAGGTTTACTTCATCATCATCGTCATCATCATCACCACCACCACCATTTTGATATTTTGTTGGCAAATTGTGGAATGACAGATTGTTTGCTGTGCAGCAATTTTCTTTAGGGGCCTGAGGGGCGTAAGCTGATTTTCTTTTTGGAGAGGAGTGTGCTCTCTATTCCGCCTTAGATACGCAATTGTCATGAGTAGGCTTACTACAGACATGACTAACACAAAACCACAAAACACAGGCACTTTCTTGAGAACAGATTTAATGTTATTTAAACAAAAATTTAGGTTTTTGCATTCCAATTGGTATAAATAAGACGACCTATCCGAATGAAGGCAAATACACAGACCATCATCAATGAAATAACATATCGGCTAGATATTAGCCTGCAGATTCTTACGGGTTTTTTTTTGTTTTTTGTTTTTGTTTTTGTTTTTTTGTTTTTTAAATATTTAACATTTACAATAGTTATAATAATTATAATACAAATATAGTGATATAAGTGTGAATATAATCAGAATAGGGACTATTTCAGGAATCAAAATTAGAAGATATACGGTAATCTTGTCTCATGATGACTTCCTAACATAAAAAAGCTAGCAAGACAAAACTTAAATAAAAGGCTTTGCTGTAATCCGTATTAACATTAAAAAATAATACATAATAAAAATGCTGTTTAGATATAACGGTATTAATCAAGACAAATCAGGACTAGGCCTATATTTCGAAATATATATCTTTTACAATTTTGTTTTAAATAGAGTAGGCCTAAGCTTTTTGCAAGAAATAATTTGTTTCTAATTCATTCCACAATTTGGGACCATAATGCGTAACAAAAAATTTTTTTTTTTTTATAGTCTTGTAAAAGGAACTTCCAATCTTTTTGCATTTTAAAATTGTATGTAGGCCTATAATCTGCATTTTCCAATTTCATATGATTCTTAATAAATCGTTAACTGTTAACTACATTTAAACATCCTTTTTCATCTTTCTTTTCTGGAATCCCTCTGATTATAGTATTATTTCTTCTACTTCTGTTCTCTAGAACCTCAACTTTGCATTGTAGCTTATTACAACTGACCGGGCATGTCCACGGTGTGCTGCTCGTCTTCCACAGGTGAAATAGCATCGCGACCTGCCTTTTTATCCGTTGGTTCTTTTATCTTTTTGGTTTACTGCTCGTTTATTACTTGTTTTCTCTCATCAGTATCTCAACGTAAATTGTTAATACTGCTATTTCACTAATTCCAAGTATAATTCCAGGTACATTGCCTTATTAAAGAGCATCAACAACTAGCAAGTGACGGAGCTCGTTTACGACACGTTTTACCTCGACGAAGGCATGGTTCGTAGTCCGTTATTCGAACATACCTCCATTTAAATAAAGATTGAAGTCTCTTCTGCAGACCATAATCAATTATATAAATGGATTGGTCTTAAGCACATTAGGACCAATACATTTGGTCTTTCATCGAGCTCATTAATTTCAGATGTGCAAAACAACACCATGCTTAAACATGATCTGCAGTTTCCAACATTTAATGACTTGAAAAGACCTCCAGTGTTGCATAATTTGTCAATATTATTTTATATGGCTCCTGTGTAATGAATAATAATAAAAAACAAAAACAAAGCAATAATTTATATCGATCATTGATAATGTTTTTGAAGAGCAATCCGGTGTCTGTCGTAGTGCTGTCGACATTGGTATGCATAGTCATATATTATTAGTGCCGGGTTCATGAACTTGAGGGGCGCGCGGCGGCGGAAGTGGTGGGGGAGGGGAGATGGGCAGGAAGGGACTTTCACAGATGGATGATCTAGACCACTTCAGTCCCACCATGGGTGTGGATGGAGTAAAATATATGGTCATGACACCTGTAGAAGACGGCCGGAAATGGCGCTCTCAGACTTCAGTTTGGATATAATTTTCTTTTTTGTCCATTAAAAAAAACTTAGAGGGTAGTGGGGGAGTGAGCCCGCCACTGGGTCACGGTATGGTCAGTGTGACTAGTGAATCCTAGAGTCATATTTCCTCATACTCATATACTGTATTTTGAAACATAAGACCTAGATTTCAAACTATAGCTTATTGGTCTTATTTCCCCCTGTTTCCAAACTCCACTATTGATATATCTAGGCCTACTAGCTTAATGTGTTATATTGCTTCGAAACCCGTCCCATGATTCTCCACGCCTCATTCTCTGATTCCGCGTATACCGATTCTCAAGCGATACCGCCAATGTATAGAGACCACCCATCAAATTTAGGAGGAGTGTCCTGAAAGAGGCGTCAAAAATCGAATCAACTATAATTGCCACAGAATACAAACACGGACTTGCTTTTTCTAAACACAAGCTTGCGCGCAACAAGCTGGTACAGCATCGATTTCTCCTTGTCCCCTAACGATAAATTGTCACCTGTGCATTTCATTTGTGTTAAATTTCATTCGACCATGGTGGTATAACATTTATTTCAACTCTCACTCTGTAGCAGACAACGTTACGCCTAGGTCTAGCCAGATAAATCTGTTTTGTTAATTTTCAATTATTTTTTTGTATTTCGATTGCAAGAGATTCACTGTGGCTGGTTTGCTGATTTGTGCCAGGTTTTGTTAAACTTGTGATTACATTCTGAGTGATTGAAGGAAATATAATAATTTAACTGATGTGAATAAAGGTTTGTCAGCTGACTGGAATTAAAACGTCTGTATGGGCGGCAAGTTATTATGATTTTAGGACGGATCAATTCAACAGAAATAAATAACGTAATTTATGTTTACATCAGATTGCTGATCGGCTTCTGTTTAGCGCTATTTTCATCACGAATGCACATCATGTGGAGTATACTTGCTATTATTTTTACTATGGTTGCAAAAA